GGTGACATTCACCTCCTTTAAAGTCAAAAAAGTTTTCTTCGTCGAGCTACTGACAAAACGTCGGGTGGAAATGTTTTGCCAGACTTAGTGATACATTTTTTCTTATACTTGGAAAGAAATCATCTAGCTTTGACTTACTCTAGGGGTTCGTTGGCTTATGACAAGTATGTTGACCGCTCCGCCAATGTTTAATTGCACGGTGCCTAACCGTTTGCATGCCGATTGCACTTTCAGCAGACGCATCAATCCCAACCTGCTAAACGGCCAACCAACTAACTGTGTTGGACAGAAGGATCAGAAAAATGGGCAGTTAATCTATCCGCTCAAATCGCGGACACATTCACTTAAAACATCACTAAGACCGGCGAGTGCAACATCGAACTCCACAAATGACATTCGACAAACATCATTACCACCCGCATCTGCTAGGATCGCCGGGAGTTTTAGCGGATAGCAATCCGTCACCCTAATCCTCCTGCGTGGAATCATGCGGGCACAAGGCAAAATAAAAGCTCAAAGTGACAGAGGTTCTGATGCTGAGATGGTACTTGAGTAAAAGTGGTTCGAATGGAATGGCCAATAAATTAGAATTATTCGCTATCAGATTTGAGTGAGCAACAAGAGAAAGCGCTTTCAAAAGAATCGTTCTGGTTTAGAGCACAGGTTGGATGTGAAAAGTCAAGGACGCACATGCCATAAGCTGACCGCATCCATTTGTGATCGTTGGCGCGTATCAGGTTCAGTGAGTATGAAGTTGATACACTGCAATATCGGCTTAATAGAGCAAGAGGCGGTCTATGAAAATCATCTATATAGGTGCCGACAGTTGTATTCTGTGGATACTGCTTAGTGATGACGGCGAAAGTCCGCATAGGATGTTCAGTTTGCATCACGAACATTTGTCTAGCAATCGGTGGGGGGAGCATAATCAGGTTCTCATATTTTGGAAGCGCTCAAATTGGCCGGGAATCGTAAGTGTATAACAGGTGCCCATTATACGCACAATGCTCTTAGCTGCGAAACATTTTGAAGTGGAACAAAGCTTTCCTCGCCAAAGTGTTGCATTTTGTTGCGTATGTGCTGAAACCAAAAACCGTCCCAATCTACGTTCATATATTTGCGGCTCACCAAATTTCATTGTTCATTAAAGCAACCGTTCCTCTGGCTGAAAGGTATTGTGGGATAATTTCCCAGCATCGCTGAGATCCCAGAATGCCTAAATGGGGCTAGAAAGTTCGGATTGGTACTCTCAAGTGAATTGCCCGATTACTTCGGTCCATCAGGGACACGTCGTAACGTTCGAAAGTTCGACTTCATTGTTCGAATACTGAGCGTCTGCATAGTGCTGAAGAGCTTTAGAGGAAAGCTTAGAAGCGCTAGTGTGCGCATAATTTCTTCGGCTCCTTTGCGCAAAATTTGCATATGGCGTCATGTGGCCGTTTTTTAAACTTCGATTTCGTTAGTCAGTCCGGCGCCATCTGACCACGTTTGTGACACACATCCAGGTTGTACTTGCCTGTTGCTTTCCAGCCATTAAAGTCTAAGGGTAATGGACCCACGTTGCCTATGTAAACTTGCTTTTACGCGCGCTATAAATCCATTACCCAGTCGGTCTGGCACGAATGGGTGGATTGTCACTCACCACCATTCGGTAGCCTAAGCTGGCTTCGGTCAGGTCTGATCATCGTATTATCAATGTTTCGAGGAGTTGAAATGAGCTATAATGGTCCCGTTCGATCTTGTTAGGCACCCATGATCCGATATCTGTGTTTTGGAACGACTGCAGGCCAAAAAATAACAATTCAGTACAATAACGACTGGTGTGTGACACGCCTTTAGGCATTAGTATATTGTCACAGTGAGAATGAAACGTGACTGAGTTGATTTGTGGGTACTGGGGATTACGCAGCAAAGTAATGTCACAAAAAGCGGGTATTGCCAGATGTAGATGCGAGCATCCACAGACCGACAAGAGCAGGGTAGCATAGTTCTCACTATTTTTACCTTTTGGGAGAAACATTGAGCTTTGGCAAAATCACATCATTAGAAGCCGAAGATGACGGGCTAAAATAAAACGAGGGGGTGAAACAAGAGGCATATTGCCTGACGCATAACAAGAAAAATGAGGAGCCAAAACAACAGATCTGGTAAAGAAACGGAGTTGGCGTGTTGCAGCCGGTCAATTTCAACTAGAGCCTGTAGCGTACGGTGAGTGCGCTGCTCTTTAGGAGCACACACAAATTATTTTGCCAAAGCTTTAGGATTTTTCAACCTAATTTCAAACTAGACGTACAACTACTAAATCTGCTAACTTCCCGGGTCATCGAAATCTCGAATCCTCACCTTCGGAGGCAGCAGATACAATGTAGAAACGCTTGTCTACCAACTGCTTCATCCTCTTCGACAAAATTTGCAATATTAAACAATCAGGTTGCCTTGAACAAACATCCATCATTGCAGTTATAGAGACCTGGCTCACATCAGATGCCTCTGACGCGGAGATCTCCATAGACGGTTACTCTGTATTTTGAGCTGGCTCAAAACGAGATAGGGCTTGTAGGGTCGTTTGGCACCTACATGAGGCCTTGCCTATCCCGGATGCCCTCTCTGATAACACTCCTAAAACTTTTGGTAATACACTGTGAATCCAAATCCCGCTGCGGGCCCAACTCCTTCTCGGTGTGGTCTACCGTAAACTCTCCAGTCCCCATGAAGATGACCAATACCTCATACGAAGCCCTGAGCAACTTTCCTCCAGCTACCACTTCTCTTGTCTCCAGCTTTTAGGTAACTTCAACCATCGAAGGACCTCCTGAGTTTACCTCCACCGGGTCAGATCGAGTGGAATTTTTCCAAAATTCACGAAGATGACGCTCGGAGCACACACATTCATTAGACAAAATTTTTTCTCATTTCGGGTAGTAGCTGCATGGAATAACCTACCTCCGACGGTTGTCCATAACGAGCAGTGCTACACCCTTTTTCACTTGTAACTTGCACGTGAACGACAGCCACTGACGAATAAGAACAAAAGCGACGCGGGAAAATTAAGCAAAATCCTCGATCCTGTGTATCAATCTGTGAATCCGTGGAGGTTCTGTCCTGGGATTACTGCTGTTTCTGGTCTACGTCAACGACCTTCCAGATGCTCTTGCAAGTCCATATCTACGTTTCACAAACGAGTGGAATCCTGGAGTTTCAATGCCAATGCCTTCCAAATGGATGTAGACGCTGCAAAGCAGTGGTCGTTGGACTGGCACCTTCCTCTGAATGACGAAAAATGCGTCTCAGCGAATGCCTTTGTTATGCATGGTGAGAAAGGACCAGAAAATATTATGAGGATAGTCGCCAAAATGGATTTGGGTATCGGGGTCTCCTCCAACTAGTCCTTCTCTTTACACGATGAGAAATCGGCTCAAAAAGCAATCGCCATTTTACGGATGATCCTACGCACCTTCTCTCGTATCACTCGCTCGGACTTCCAAATACCCAATGGGGCCTACGTCAGACCGCTCCTGGAATACGCGAACCAAGTAGTCTATTCAGGACGCATGAAAGACGTCACCCTCATTGAGCGTGTCCAGCAAGACGCTACAAGAATGGTTGTCGGCCTCAAATCCGTGGACTACGAAACGCGTCTCGCGATGCTTGATCTCCCTCCCCTGGAGTATCGTCGCCTCCGAGAGGACCTAGTTCTTACTTATGCCCTGTTTGAACAAAGCGCCGCCTACAGGTTTTTCATCACTGACCCAGCAAACACACGGTGGGGACATACCAAGATTTTCAGGCTCAGAGCGCACGATTTCACTGGGGAGAGTTTTTCTCATTTTGGGTAATTTCAAACTAGACGTACAACTACTAAATCTGCTAACTTCCCGGGTCATCGAAATCTCGAATCCTCACCTTCGGAGGCAGCAGAGACAATGTAGAAACGCTTGTCTACCAACTGCTTCAGCCTCTTCGACAAAATTTGCAATATTAAACAATCAGGTTGCCTTGAACAAACATCCATAATTGCAGTTATAGAGACCTGGCTCACATCAGATGCCTCTGACGCGGAGATCTCCATAGACGGTTACTCTGTATTTTGAGCTGGCTCAAAACGAGATAGGGCTTGTAGGGTCGTTTGGCACCTACATGAGGCCTTGCCTATCCCGGATGCCCTCTCTGATAACACTCCTAAAACTTTTGGTAATACACTGTGAATCCAAATCCCGCTGCGGGCCCAACTCCTTCTCGGTGTGGTCTACCGTAAACTCTCCAGTCCCCATGAAGATGACCAATACCTCATACGAAGCCCTGAGCAACTTTCCTCCAGCTACCACTTCTCTTGTCTCCAGCTTTTAGGTAACTTCAACCATCGGAGGACCTCCTGAGTTAACCTCCACCGGGTCAGATCGAGTGGAATTTTTCCAAAATTCACGAAGATGACGCTCGGAGCACACACATTCATTAGACAAAATTTTTTCTCATTTCGGGTAGTAGCTGCATGGAATAACCTACCTCCGACGGTTGTCCATAACGAGCAGTGCTACACCCTTTTTCACTTGTAACTTGCACGTGAACGACAGCCACTGACGAATAAGAACAAAAGCGACGCGGGAAACTTAAGCAAAATCCTCGATCCCGTGTATCAATCTGTGAATCCGTGGAGGTTCTGTCCTGGGATTACTGCTGTTTCTGGTCTACGTCAACGACCTTCCAGATGCTCTTGCAAGTCCATATCTACGTTTCACAAACGAGTGGAATCCTGGAGTTTCAATGCCAATGCCTTCCAAATGGATGTAGACGCTGCAAAGCAGTGGTCGTTGGACTGGCACCTTCCTCTGAATGACGAAAAATGCGTCTCAGCGAATGCCTTTGTTATGCATGGTGAGAAAGGACCAGAAAATATTATGAGGATAGTCGCCAAAATGGATTTGGGTATCGGGGTCTCCTCCAACTAGTCCTTCTCTTTACACGATGAGAAATCGGCTCAAAAAGCAATCGCCATTTTACGGATGATCCTACGCACCTTCTCTCGTATCACTCGCTCGGACTTCCAAATACCCAATGGGGCCTACGTCAGACCGCTCCTGGAATACGCGAACCAAGTAGTCTATTCAGGACGCATGAAAGACGTCACCCTCATTGAGCGTGTCCAGCAAGACGCTACAAGAATGGTTGTCGGCCTCAAATCCGTGGACTACGAAACGCGTCTCGCGATGCTTGATCTCCCTCCCCTGGAGTATCGTCGCCTCCGAGAGGACCTAGTTCTTACTTATGCCCTGTTTGAACAAAGCGCCGCCTACAGGTTTTTCATCACTGACCCAGCAAACACACGGTGGGGACATGCCAAGATTTTCAGGCTCAGAGCGCACGATTTCACTGGGGAGAATTTTTCTCATTTCGGGTAATAGCTGCGTGAAATGACCTCCTTCCGAAGGTTGTCTACGCTCCTTCTAGAACCCAGTTCAGAGCAGTATTGAACATTTATTAATGCGAGTTCTCGTACTGGCAAGCATACTGTCCAGTGATATGAACGTTGGAGCATTGCAACACCTTTTTTCACTTTTGCATTTCAAGTGAACGACATCAGCTGAACGACAAGAAAAAAGTGACCCGAGAAGCTTGGACAAAAGCCTCGATCCTGTGCATCTGTCCGTGAATCAGTGAATCCGAGAATGAGTATTTTAAGGGCCCGAATATATACCATGATATACTGAGACGATATGGTAGAGATTCCTTCCTTCAATCTACGGTTTCAGAGAAATTTTGAGTGTGCGCCTAAGGCTCGGCTCCGGGTCATCGTGGCCCCGAGCTGCTAGAGTTACGGCCAAAGATTAGAAATGCAGACAAATGTAAGGCGGGAATCTCGGAATCATGCTGTACAGCGAAAATGTAGAGACTACTTGGTGTCGCTTTTGTAGTGGTGTCGGATGAAAACTATAACGGAAATTTGAGGTGACGAGAACACAGATGCCAGATCGCAAACTTCTTCGGGAACCCAGAATTAAAGTCAACCAAAATGTTAAATTCAAACGTAAGGTACACCAGATCAGAAGGAACGTGTCCTAGTGGCGGCCCGGGCCATGTGAAGACTTTGTTAGGATTTTCAGTTAACCGAACGGCTGAGCGAGAGCGTGCGGTCAAAAGTACGAAGGAAGAAGTTTCGGGTGTGCTACTAACCTGGGTATCTCAGTGCCACGCCGTCATGGCCTCCAACGCTGAGATTTTCGAAATACACTAGGGGGCTGCTCTAGGACACTCGGCCGCCGATTGTATTACTGTTTCTTGACATGCCCTTTCAGAAATGCGTAATAAGAACATTTACTCAACTTAGTACTTGGTCGGAACCTTGGAAGCTGGTACGCCTGTGAAAGCAGCCACCAACGGTGCATGATCTGTACTGACATCCAAAACCAGTTCAAGGACATGCCAACACTACGGGTACATGGGTATGTATGGGTAAATAGCATGCGGCTACAGCATTCTGGAAATTCTGACGCCATCTGGATGAGACATTAGCAACCGGCAATCAGCGGATACCGGATCATGATTAGCTGTTGGATCAAGGTTTTCAGCGTCCACCGTGGCGTTGGATCGGTAACTGTCCCAGTGGTAGCTGGCTTGATCACTGAGCTGCGTAATTTGACTGCAAAAGCTTTGTCCCAACCCATCGCTACTAACTGCATCCTACCAAAGCACCGATGATGGCACTTCAACTGGTGATGAAATTTCTACTGCCAAAATGCCCAGTTCGGTGAACAAGCCAACTACATGAGCTGGCGCTCAGTATATGCAAAATGGAATTGAACTTTCGAAAGCCACGACGTGCCGCGTTAGATTAGAAGAGACAGGCAATTGAGTTCGGCGAACGAGTGCAAGCTTTTGAGCCCCATCTAGACATACCGGGATAACAACGATGCTAGGAAAGTATTCTGCCAGACTTTTCCGTCAGAGGTATGATGGCTTCAGTGGACAATGAAATTCGGTGAGCTGTAAAAACGTACTTTTAGATTAGGACGGATTTTGGTTTGAGCATATCGCAATAAGGTGCAATATCTTGGCGTAAATAGTTTTATTCCACTCGTAAGGAGTTCGCAGCTAAGAGCATCGTGCGGCTAATGGGCCCCACCTGAGCTACCAACATTTTCCTCAATAGAAAACTGGCCAATCACGTGCGGGATTGAATTTTTGGCCGTGGCGACGCCTAACTGGGAGGGCTAAAGCGTCAGTAAACACGCGTCAGTAAATTTACTGACGCGTGTTTACTGACGCGGTACGATCTGTCCTGATGTACAGCATATCACGTAGTACGTACCAAGGGACAGTAATTCTGCTAGAGCAGGGTTCACGACAATTGATGTGGATGGAGAACAAGGAATGTTCATGACTTAAAGCTCAGTACATATAAATATATCAAGCTGGACCCCTTTGTGGGGAACACCGTAGCTGCCACGCGCAGATCTCCAGAGACCGTGTTTTACCATCAGTGCCATCGAAAAATTGTGCAGGTATAGTGGGAACATCAGAGCAGTGGTCCTGAGTTATGCCTTCGGGAATGCCCACTCGATGGATCAGCTGACCACACTTCGCAGGATGCACCGGTTAGGCGATGTGCTTCATATGCCGGATGACCGTTTACATCGCAGAGCCCTCTCTATCTGGTCTTATATTTCATGGTGGCTACCAAAGGGCGCTCGGCCCACAACTTGACAACGAAACACAAAAGCCCTCACCGGTCAACGCAGTCGCGTTCGGAAATTCCGTTTCCCCGGACAGAGACCATGAGAACACAGATATGGCGGTTTTGCATCAGAGCTATCGCCTTCACTGCACAGCTCTCACTCCTTGCCATATTGGACAAACCGATCTATTGGTCCTCAGGGCATAGATCGGACGGTCGCCTCCGACTCGTGGCTGACCATTCCCTTGTTTTTCTTATCCTAGGTGAACAAAACTGTAGCAGCGAACTGCGACTGTACGCAAGTTGTTCCTGCTAATGTGGAGAACAATACTTAAGAAGCCTTTCGCAAGAGAGAGATAGTGTTGGAAATGTATTATAAATTTCAGTGTCTAGATCGATAAGCAGAATATTCTAAAAGGAAGTTTAGTTTACGGTCTTTCATTTGACTCGCTCGTTATAAATTATTGTCTGTGAGTTTAGGTTACCCCTCAGCTGATGAAAGGTAGTATGTCTTTTTGCTTTGGAACTTCAGCGGGCTGCTGGATCAGGTGACTTCCTCGGCATTGTTCAAAGATGGATGAGAATCCTTTTGTTCCAGTTTGGCTAGGCGTTTACTCGGTTGGAAACAAGAACTTGTTGCAGGGAACTGAGGCCAATCGTTCAAGGTAACCGTGTTCGAAAAAGTTCCCGAACCGACTGTTCTAATCCTAAGGGTATATGTTCAAGGTAACCGTGTTCGAACCGACTGTTCTAATCCTAAGGGTATAGATATCATGCGTGTTACGTAGCTGCTGACTTCTTTTATATTGTGGCATGTCTTTGGCACAGGAGGTGCAGGTGCGAGTACCAGACAGGATTTCGATCTGGCAGAAGGTGCACTAGTTGTCAAGTGATTGAGTAACGCTTTAAAGGAGACTTCGACTTTGTTGGTGGTTAAGTCCTCCCAAATTTTCCCGACCAGAGTAGAAAGCCCTTAAGGTTCGTAGAGATCCCTCACGCACTTAAGTTCCGTCACTTCGGTGAAGGTTTGGCGTAGAGTGAACGCCAGAAGCTTCCTAACAACCAGTTGAGTTCGTCAGAGTTGTCCACTCTCTTCTTTGTTGTCATCGACGTCGTCATGGAGTGTATATTCGAACGGACCGTAAATCTAGAAATCGTAGCCACTTGTGCAGGGATAAATGAATATGGATTATGCGGACGACAGTGTTGTTTTTAAACGATTGTATGTGTGCGCAAAGCACTTTGACCAGAACGTCGGAGCTGATCCCGTGTTGTGGCATGTGGGCTGGCGAGATTGCCCAAGTGGTTAGAGTGCGGATTTACTGCATGGAAGGCCCGTGGTTCGAACCCGATCTCTGCCTCCCGACTTCCTCTTTCTAGGCTTGGGCAGCCTGGTAGTATCCCAGCCCTCGTGCTTTCATTGAGTGGCCTGGCAGCTAGGCACCCAAAGGGTGTTACAGCCGAACCATTTTTGGTATGCGTTTTATACCTTCAGGGTGCAAGGGCTTATTTCAAGCTTCCCCGACCTCTTGTACTTCTGAAACTTCAGGGTGAAGAGCCAGTTCGCTGGTCGGTTTACTTATCTTGGCAACTGCATTTAGACTGTAATAGATGAAGTTAAGGAGCCGATAATCGAAGCGCCTGGAGCGTCTTTTAACTTGCGTCGTTTATAGCACCAGAAGCGTATTTCACTGAAGCTAAAGCATATATACTGTACTATTGTAAGAACAGGCTTGCTTGATGGATGGGACCAAGGACCTTGGGCGCCCTTCGGTGTTTGCTCACTTGTAGCACAACAAGCGTAAGGTGGCTGTAGCTACTCCGCAATTAATTGTTGGTAAGCGGTAATGAAGCTGATTAGACTCACCAGGTTGTGGTTATGGGGTGTGCTACATATGCCCAATCACCATCTATCGAAGTAAGCCTTCTTTCCTGTTCCGAGCGATTGCTGGCCAAATGTTCGCTGGGGATGGGCCATGACATGGCAAGTGAGGTGAAGGCGGCTACTGTCAAGTTGGTTGCTATGGGATCTTCGCGCATTCGTAGGTGGGGCCCACGTGATCCTGCTTGCAGTTGGTTGAAAGCCCTGCAGGATAGGCTGGGCAACCAACACCGATGGTACACATACTGTCATGTCCCAGTGGGACTGCCTAGCTAAAGTTGGTATGTCGTTTTGCGCTAGGTTCAGGTCGCGTGGAGTAAGCAAAGAACTCTGGGATAATCCGGTTGTTAACGCCTTCCATATGATGCTCAGATGTGTTTATTTTAATCCCGTCCATGGGTGCAAGCACCTTGTTCTCCCTTAAGGACATAGTGAGTCTTAACACTGATACCCTCACATTCCCTTTTCTTTCCACTGTTTGCTAAGGCTTTCCCTCCTCATGGTTGTATGGCAGTTAAGCACCAGTATATATTGCCATCAATGAGGACAATGAAAATGGTTCGTCGTCTTACGGCGGCACGTGAGTTCTGCTCTTTAAATACCAAAGCGACCAAATCTTCACACGCAATGAGGCGCCAATAGAACGCCATATGTATGGACGACCCACTATCTTGATTTTACTCGATTTCCACGGCGCGTTCGATTCTCTCGATCGGTCAGTGCTTCTAACCAAACTGGCTCAACAGGATATACCCCAAAAGTTTGTGAACGTACTCCGGTCCCTACATTCACATACTTAGCGTATGCGAGTGTATGGCGAGCTCTTTAAAATTTTCCCTACGAAAAGTGGAGACCGACAAGAGCGCTCACTCCCTCTGTTCCTGCTCAACTTCGTCGTGGGGGCTAGATGGCTCAGCGGTTGGAGCGCGAATTTAAGCTAGATGGCTCAGCGGTTGGAACGCGAATTTACTGACCGGGGGTCCGTGGTTCGAATTCGACCTCTGCAGTTCGACTTCCCCTGTCTAGGCTTGGGCAACCTGGCAATATCCCAGCCATCGTGCTTTTTCCGGGTAGCATGGTGGCTAGGTACTGAAAGGGTGTTACGCCTGCACGACTTTTTTCAACTTCGTCGTCAATCAACTAATGAGGCGAAAACCGGGAGACCTTCAAAACCTTGGTGTTTGAATCGCTACTGTTAAGAATCTTGTCGATATGGAGTGCGCAAACGGTATCGTACTCGTCCTCAAATACGAAAGCTAAGGGCGAGTGTCGAAAGCGAAACGCTGCCCAAATATAAAAATACCGATTGCTTATCGAGCCCTTCTGAAACTAAGGGCAGGCTGTTAAATAAACTGGCAACCGTCGTACTATCTTGCACCATGCACCTTCAAGGTGAAAAGTCATGTTTCATAACGTAAGGCCCCTGAAAATGTCCCTTGCAAATCTAGGAGAATCGCTGGAGGTTCTGAAGGATCTTACATACTTCCGTAGTTGTATTAGCTCTGACGTAAGTGTTTCTGATAAAATCAGTGGAGGAATTTCAAAGCCTTGAATCACGTTTGCTGATCTGCGCCATTTGTGGCGTCAAAAAGGTACATTAAGGGGTCTAAAGGGTCGCATGTACCGGGCTACAATAAGGACTGTATTGCTGTATGGTTGCGAGATATAGCCTTGGCAGACATGCTGTGAGGCGTCTATAGGTTTTCGACCTCCGGTGCTTCAGAAGCGTTGGCAGTCTCGGAGGGCGCCAACAAATTCGTTACGGTGCAATTAAAAAGCGGGTATTTTGTTATGCGACAGGCACATCGGTCGCGGAGCATACCCGGCACCATCAGCTGTGGTGCCGGCCATGTGCTGCGCATGCTTAAACACCGTCTACCGAGACGAATGTTGTTCTCCATGCCTCCTTGAGAATGGCGCAAACCACATGGCGGACAATGTGATTTGACAGAAGGGTGTGAAAAATATTACGAGGAGTTCGGGTGTTGTTGGTGCGGTCTGCCCTTCGCGTTCGCGCGACCCGCTCTGCGTTTGGCTGTAGACGTTGCAAGAAGTGACGGCTGATCGACACCAGTGGCCTTGGTGCTGTCGTTTCTTTCCAAATTGTCTGGTTGAGCGTTTTAGGGTGTAGGCATATCAGAATACATGCGTCAGGCTAACACCAGGTCCCTTCCTCAACCATCCTTCTTTCCCCACATCAAGGCATTAAACATGACTAAATAAATTTTATGGTTTTATGGCAGTGAGGCATGTCACCTTAGACTTTACTGTATCAGATGATATATCACGTAGGATTTCAAATCACATGCAAGAGAATAACGGTGCCCCTCAGAAAGTTCTGGATACTCTCAAGACTCGATTTGGCTGCATATGCTCCCGTTGTCCAGTCGCAGTGTTGTGTCTTGTGTGCAGAGGGTTTTCTTCAGAGAGGGTTTCAAATAGAATGCAACGGTTTCTTTGCCAAACGGTCACCGAATAAGCGTATCACATGTGTCAGTCACACTAACCAGACAGACCTCATTCGCCGCTCCGGCTATTGTGAATCATTGCCAAGTACTGGCTTAAGCGTCACTTCGTTGTGAATGCGTTCCGGTCAGCTTACTAGTGGTGGGCTACGAAGGCATCAGCGAGACACTTGCTCAAGACACAATGTCAGTACGTAGTCGTCCATATGAAGGCAGACTTCAGGTTAGTCTAACTAATAAGACACCAAAAGTAAGACTTGTCAGCATCAGCATAACATTTTTTCAAATTTCATCTAACACCGACTCATCATACAGCGACTGACAGGCATTCTAATTGGATAGTGGTCAATGAGTGACGTGTCCGCCAAAAGAAGCGTCGTTTTTCATAGTTGCAGTCGTCTGCGGGCATAACCATGTGGGCGTCAGCTGGGAATCTCAGCAACTCTCCAAGCACATTCAGCTTAGCAGTTACGAGCCTCCTGCCAGCACACATTTGCAGTGGGATACAAGCTTCCTTCTGTAGATGGGAATTGGGTACAGCAAACATTTACAAGCCACCATACTGAGAATATTCTGCAGCCAGCTAACAACTACTGTGCTACATTAGGTGCCGATCGCTTATTTTGGTGCACTTGGTAATACGTTCGTGCCTAGTACGAGGCCACGGGCACTAGAACGTGTCAATGCTACACATGTTTCGAATGACACCATAACATTGTCCCGTAAGGTGTGGAAAGATACCAACACCTCAGGTCTCAAGGAGCAGATGTGGCTTCCTTTTTTCCTGGAAACTGATGCAGCCGACGATAGGGTCCGCTCGGAAAATGGGTTGTCTTGGAAAACTCTTTACAAGTATCCGGCCTCAAGCTCCAATTCGCAAGGCAGTGAGAGACCTAAATCAAGGAGGGCATTGGAATCTGATTCCAGGTGATACTAAGCATAGCAAGTATTCTGTGAAGGGCACCGCACCCTCTTTCATGAGTATCGCGACCATATCGATTAATGGTAGTGATGTCGACAGCCAACTTTTGAGCGGTCATAGCTGGATTTTGGGGCTGGTCTGTTTCAAGGGGTTCTTTCTAGTGGAAAGGCAACATCGTTGTGCCCATAAACATGAAGATATTAACTGTCTTGGTAAATAACCTTAGTGTTCTTACATTCCTGTTTCATTGAACGGCTGGAGTTTATCTCTATACCGCCTCGTAGTAAGAGTTATCGCAAAACCGAGTTGCCATACTACTATTCGGTTTCCTTGCACCACCGAAGTCAGAACGTCACAAGGTGGTAATCTCCGCTTAGAGCAGGACATAGGCTTTACAAACATCAGGTTGGTATCGCAATAAAAAGCAACTACGTCTTTTAACGATGGACTCAGGAGCTTCTGGTGCTGCAAAGTGTCTAAACCAAGCAGTGGAAGTAAATTAACATGAGAAGTGAAACTTAACAAAGGGGTTTCCTGCGCTGGTTACACTTGGTAGTTTCCACACGTTACCTGACCACATACCTTTCTTATGAAGCACCTCAAACTACCAACACATAGGCCGTCGAACGTTAGTTTCATTCTTCATCCTACGTGGTAGATAATATGGAGATGTAATAACGCTACCAGCTTGGCTGGACGTCGTAACAAAGCGCTCAGCGTATCACTCAAAACGGTCAGCACTGAGCTCGCGTGTCTCCCATTCAGAGGATGTCTGGATTGTTGAAGCACCACACGGTAAGGTGTGTGCGATTACTACGTGCTGAAGATAATCTTCACAACTTGACCGACCTCAACTCCACCGGTCAAACCACCCTAGTCCAGTAGATTTTGCCACACGTAAATATCCTGCCACCAACACCTTCCCATCTTGTCACTACTCAGCTATTCTCTCGCGGATTTCACCGAAGTTGATGTACTCCAGCCTGCGTATGCTATACTTCAGGAACCTATGACTCCTGTGGAATCAGCAGACGAGTTTGATGAGGAAAGCGAATACGAGGTGGAAGAACTATTAGATGTGCGTTACCGCAACGGAGAACCGGAATATCTTATCAAGTGGAAGGGCCATCCCTCGTAAGTTTCTTTTTACAGCCAACTGATGGTCAGTTACAGAGAAATGAATTCTTGGGAGCCGGAGTACAACCTCAACTGCCCTCAGTTGCTGAGTAAGTTCAACTCCAAGCAAAACCGCCAAAAAACCACAATCGTGGACATTGTAAGTCTCATGGGTTGTTACTGACGCTCCTTTTCAGCCTGAAACAAACGAACCGTATGGTTTCGATCGGGGTCTCGCTCCGGACTGTATCAGTATGGTCACGCAGAAAGACGGGGAGCTTTATTTCCTCATAAAATGGTAACACTGTCTTAATAACGAAGTTCACCTTTCTTCCACAGGAAGGGTAGTCCTGTTTTCGACGTTGTCCCCGCCGCACAGGCAAATACACGTTGCCCCCAAATAGTCATCCGGTTTTACGAGAGCATACTGCATTTCACTTGATCAAAATATGTGTATATTTCTCAAGATTATTTTTATGTCCTTCAAAAGAATGTAATTTTATAAAAAAAAGATTCCGCCCCTTCTTCGAAATCACAGGGATGATAGGAGAAAGTCATAACAGATGACGAGCGAGGAACGGGAGGCTGGTGAAATCGCTGGGTATGGGTAACAAGCACTGAGAACATCGAACGTGGCACTATCACTTCTCAAGGTTTCTTCAGAGGAGTGATAATTTCATCCTGTTCTTGCCTGCGCATATCCTGGAACATGTTTCCATGGACCGCGGCGACTTCACGGGCCTAAACAAAAAATAGACACAAAGTTATTACTTCTTGTATTTTAACAGAAAACACGTTCTGTACCAAATGGCACCTGTCAACAGTCCATGATCCTTGATGCACTATAATTGCCGAGGCTAAACAATCTACGGAAGTGATATCCTGCGAACCATAAGTCACGTCTCCAGGGGGATATTTACTTGGAAGTTCTAGGTGACGCACTAACTGCTAACATCGGGTAGTCTTACTGTGGGTTTAAACGGTTTAGCTCACGTAATCTACTCCCACATAGGGGATAGTTGTGTCATTTGGTTTATATTTTCGTGTGGACTTGAATATACAGTACACTACTCGCCAAAAACTAGAACCCCCGCCACCACCTTACATTCAAAAAGTGAGCTGAATGCATGCATCGGTGCGCCAGTTGTTGATCCTGATGCTGTCCGAGATGTACTTTTCTATCCAAATACAGTGGTCTGAGCCCCGAGCGAACCTGATAACCTCATCCGATCACGCTGTGCTGCCTACACAGCCGGGATATTCGTTTTATCAGGTTGGTGGTAGGCTCGTGGTACCAACCATATGCCGTGGACGACCAGGGGAACTTGTGCAAGACCTGGTGGCGCAAAACACTGCCATAACGGTTGACGTTTTTTCAACTTGATGATGTTATTTCTCAGCAGTACTGGGTTTAGAAGCGGTGGGGGCCGTTGTTCTACTTGGCGTCCCCCTACCCCCCAGCAGCCTCGGAGTCAGATTGATTCATCGCTTCAGAACTTTATCAGACTTTCCCAGTCAACCCCAGAAGCGAGCTCGCAAGTAGGAGAAAAACAAGAGATTACAAGCGGACTCCTCAGAGGACATTGACCGTAACTGGGATAACATAACATAATTACGTCTATACATGGTGAAGGGAGGTTTGCTTGTGGTGTTTCCGAGCGAAAAATTAGAAACCAGTGGACCTCAGAATGGGTAGATGTTAGACGCTCCATCCTCCGGATGTGACGATCAACCGAACGACAGTTCAAGTGTAAACCGTATGTAAACAGAGAAGCGGTGGAATCAGAAAGTGAGAAATCGAGGTCAGCACTGTTGGGAATATACAACCCTCAAAGAACCTTGTCGCTGGGAGAATGTACGGTGTTCTAGCTAATCCGCAAAGCAGGACCTAAAAGGCTTCGTGTAGATGGATTGATGGACGATAGTATTGGTGAAGTCTAGCATCTAGATGGTTGAGCACTAAATCCTCAACATCTTAGTTGGTCCCTGTCCCCTACAGCCATCGGGCTGCTGTGCCAGATGAGCACCTCCAGCGTTATTCAGAGATACATGACAAAAGGACGTGTTCTAAGGAATTGGGATCAATCGCTGGTCATACTTGCGCTCACCTGTTTTAAGCGCGCACTGAGGATGTCCGCTCGAACGGTGACGAAACGTTTGCTAGCTTATTTTCAAGGTCGGTGGGTAGATCCACAGCCAAAATACTTATATTGTGCCCTGAACTGAGTCTCAGTCACTACCGGCTGTTCGGTGACAGTGCCCGACCAAAATGAAACATTGGTTAAGATGATTCGTGCTTTGTTCTTCAGCTGAACGCAGACAACCGAGCACTCATTCACTTCGTTGGGAGCGATTACCTGACCTATCATGTTGATGGATATGTCTGGACCTTGAACGATCAGGCTAGTTTGCTTGCGATTGCCCACACTACCTCGAATTTAACCTGATGATCAATCAGATTTGGCGTCTCGGACCACGAATTGCTTTCTTTGTCTTGCTATCCTTTACAGAACGTTCACCGCCTATGTCGCTGTTGCCGGCAGCGGATTCAATCCATGTGTCGCGAGAATTCAGTACCAAAGCTAGGGTGTGCACTTGTCCCGTGGAAATGCACTGCAGCTGTTTCTCAGTGAGATGTCAGTGACCAAACTCTAAGCTTCATTAGCTATGTGACATTTAAATGGAGGGCCGAAAAGTTTGCACTTGGAAAAAGGTTAGTATGTCATGTTTTCATAGCCGAACTATTAGCCTCAGTTCATTATAAGTCCCGACCACCTCATACACTACAACTAAAAAGATTACCACTCCATTACTTTGAGCCGTCGGGTACCATGCACGACCTTCCACTCTTGACCTACTTTTTAACCGTAACTCGCAGTTTGAAATCCTGAACAGCGGTGTTTGCCCACAAGGAGTGTCCGCCTTCGGAACTCAACTTTTCCAGGACACCTGGTTAAGACACCATCCCTGCATTTCGTCCCGTAATTGCGCGTGCCCCAGTCGATTCACAGATGTTCCGTCTGTCCTGTTCCACTAATCTCACGCTGTTCAGAACCCCTGAATTGGGTCTAGTCAAACAATCATGTGATCTTGGAGATAATCCCACCTCGGCTGGCTGCCAACCAACCATTACGCGGGTAGCTCGTTGACTCACGTGTCACACGTTTGACGTCCCCCCTGGAACATTTAGGTGAACCGAATGTGGTTGACATACATATATTTTATCGATAACCCCCACAGCTTGACAACCTGAAAATACTTCTTAGTGTCAAGACACATCTCCAGCCTAATCCTACAGTTACTGCCACGCGAAAGGTCCGTCGGGGTTTGCTTCCCCTATGACATCCCTGCACTGTTCAGTCGGACATCCAGTCACTCTAAACAACCGACAACCACACGTAGAGTTGTACTCCTTTTTTTCCAGAAAAATTACGTCTTTGGAATTCTGCCACCCGGTCTTCCCTAGTTCAATCAACCTTCAGCTGACAGCAGGTTCGACCTTCTATAATTCACATCTACGCAATAAAAAAATAATGACGAACAAAAAATCTAGTCCGGCCTTAAATGCGAAGAAAACCCAACTATAAATGTTGACGCCTGATAATTCGGTTAGTTGTACGCGGGAGTTTACACATAAGCTATTTCCGCGATGAACCGTTCTTTGGACGCGTCTCCTGATCTCGCGAGTAGCTTGTAAGCGAGACGTAGCTTTCATGAATGCTCCTACCGTCACCATCCTCAGTAAATCTTACATTTGCAGCTATTGGACGATATGCATGTGAAGCGAGCAACGCACTTCAGTCCAAACTAACAGTGATCTACCTCCAGTGGTCGCATCACTAACAGGGTCGATACAGGTTGAAAAGACACCTTTGAACTGTGCTACGTGGCTGCCTTGCCAAAATGATCCTGAGCGTCCCAAGCCTGATCTGACCAGCTTTTTAGCAGATGACGATAAAGTTGGTGAACTAAGGAGAGCAAGTAATGAGGGGAAACTAACCATCTGCAATTCGTGATTGCTAGCAGTTGGTGCGTCTATCACAGCAGCCGGGTTTCCCAGGGTCCGGGGAAGTACGACAGGCAACACAGGTGGTCCCATTGGTCGCCGGGAGACAGCGTCACTAATAGAATGAAAATGAGGAGTAGGTGATACGGAGTAAAAAGAGAGGACAGGTCTTTGTCACACGTTGAGCACTAACAACACAAAGCCTACACAATTTTGCACAGGTACGAAACATACTGCTGGCCTACAATTTGTAGATTAATGCTGGTGTTCGAATGCTATCCTGAGTACTGTGAACTCAAACCCCACTCGAAATTCGTGTAAATGCTCCTGGACTTTTCAGCTGAGTTTGGCTTACCACGAAGGAAGAACCTCAAACTGGAAATTAATCGTTTAGTTTGCGGAACTTGGAACTGAATTTGATTCTGTAGGGTGGCGCTCAGAAATGACAGGCAGTGACAGCCAACGACACTGACGATGATAACCATGTGCTAAAGAGAAATATGATTTGGCCGACGAAGTTATTGGGACACATTACTTGCCAAGAGATGCACGTCAACCAGCAACTAAAATACGCTTGGAGGTGGGTTGAGCACTCGTTCAGTAAGTCTAAAATCGCTATCTTGTTACTCGCTTTTCTTGAGCGCTTCAACGAAAACCTGCCATTACTCTGCTATGCTAAACACACTTTCAGGTTAGGATTCCTGATGGACACTAAGGGCTCGATATATACTACATCAGCTGATCGTTGTAGACCCGGTTACAGCCCATTTCCAGGTCGCCCCGCGTAACTGCATTCTCCTCACGGAAGCAATATACCGAACCGGAAGAGTTGAAAGAAAAATGTGGGCATTAGAACAGTTGAAGGTTGGGACTGCATTCACTGGACCTCCAAGCCACAGCACAATCTGAGTTTGGATCTGCAGAAAGTCCAGCTGGCTCCATCGTTGAGCCGAGATGGTGTGCCTCGATCGTTGCTATAGCATATTTTGTCACCACGAATCTTGTCGTTTCTAAATCTCAGTGGTGTTTCGTAACCACTCTTCGAAACACAGAATTTTTGTTTTGCGGTCTCTAACCTTTCATACCATATTATTTTGAAAGTCCTGCCACATCAGTTGGTGCCACGAACAGACCGGTGATCTGCTTGACCGAATGATTAGGCAGCATATAAATGCAGTTGGCTGTAGAAAGCGGTGGAGTGCGAATACTCGTTTCGTAGGCCCAGATTAGCAGCAGAGCTAGCCAGGTTTTTTCAATAGGTGAAAAGGTTAACAAAAACACATGACCAGATATCGGTTCGAAACTCAGTGAACGAGCAACGCACCTTCACGTGCAAATTAGCTGTCAACATTTTACGTGCATTCTTTGGCGAATGCTGTGGCCAGTTTGTTTTGTACCATTTGGGAGCTTGGAAGAATGCAAGTGGGGAAGGCATGTATGGATGGAAGTTACGTGATACGTACTCAATCTAAACTCGCCAGGGAAACCAGAGATTAAGGCACGGAGCTCGTGGCCATATTACCTATGGACATTAAAACGTGTTGGTCACTTACGCGTAATACCTTGACCTTTCTGCGTATTCTTGATTATCCAAAGAGTTGAAGTCTGTGGCCCCAGCGTCCACGACCCGGCTGTGGAGCAGTGACAAAAAAGGCAGGTTGGAATAGCATTATTGCTCCGGGAAATGATGGGAGAGTAGAGTAGTCACCCTAACAACCAATTCTCGTTTCATCACTTCCTATGGGTTTTCCTTTGAGGGTTGAACCTCAGTGAGTCGGACACACACATTTCTCAATTCGGACAAACAAGCCGCTAGTGACTGCTGTTTTACGCTCATTTGGAATGTCAGGCCAACAAACCGTACAGCGACTTAAACAGATGTCCGCGCCTTGGCGTTAAAAAACGGCCAAACGCATTCATTCAGTGGTGTTCAAATAGCGCTGACGAAAACCTTGTCGATTTAGATTATGCAGACGATACCGTTCTCGCCTTCGGAGAGGAAGAGATGTTGCGGATGTTTTTGAATGAAGTGGCCCAAGTCATCCCGTCCGTTGGTACGCACTTTGCACCCACAAGGTGTAAGGTCATGTTCGTGGACATTCAGTCACTGAACACACCACCTGCAATCCAAGAAGAGGCTCCCGAAGTTGCAGTACCTTGGAAGCAGTATTAATTGACTGCAGTGTGACAGTTAAGGTCAATGCACGAATCTGAAAGGCTCGGGTCACGTCAAAGCGATATATTCCTGAATCTCATGGGACATGCGTATCAGGCTACAGTACGGACTGTTTTATTGTATGGCTGTGAGGCTTGGCCTTTTCGGGCAGCGGAACTGAGACGTCTTCAAATGTTCGACAATCATTGTCTCAGAACCATCGCTCGTGTGAGTTGATGTCGGATGATCTGTAACGAGGCAATTATGAATCGAGTTTTAGACTGCGCAACGGGAACTTCCATTGAAGAATGTGTCCAGAACCAGAAGCTGCGTTGGTTAGGCCTGCGTATGCCGAACCATCGTTTGCCGAAGACGGTGCTATTTCCATCATCATCATCATCAACGACAGCATGACATCAGTGCTCAACACCAATGCTTCACTGCCGTACAGCCATGACTTATTTGAAAGC